AATACCCATATTTTATCACTCAAAAAATCAAAATCAAATTATCAGAGGGATTTAATACTTTGTGTGATTTGACCACGAGAACATATTAATGTAGTGCAAAGGCAGCTGGTTGCTCCAAATGCCAAGAACACCTCCTTCTAAATCTGACCACTTTTGGATTTCATTTGCTCTCCTTTAAACTTGATTTCTGAGTTCTTTCCACACAATTTCAATGATATTAATGTCTGAGCTCTGTGAGGCTAAGGGTGCTATTAACAGTTTCGTATAAATAACTAGGGGTTATTCCCCGACTAAAATTAGCCTTGGAGGGAAATCCCTTTTTATCTACATAATTGGTGAATAAGTATTTTTTTTTGTATTTGATGGTAAACATTAGTTGTTAGCTTTCAATTAAAACAGGTTGAATGATTAAAATAATTTTTAAAATTAGATTAAATATACATGTTTGAAGGGAAACCAACACTGTAAACTTCCTGGTTTTTTTTGGTAGTGAAAATTAAAAACTTAAATTGAATTGGACAGAAGCTTGATAATGATTAAAAGCTAGTTTCTAGAAGGAAATTTTGTTAAAATTTCGTTCCATTTTTTCTGTATTTTACTTATAAATGGACTTATTTTTCTTCCAGTTAACATTACATACAGTCTGCAGTTTAAGTTTTTAAAACATTTATTAGATTCATAAACTATCCTGGATTTTTACCAAACTTGGACAGAAGCTACTTACAATCAAAAGATAGTATAGAGAGGAATAATTTTATTAATTTTTTTCCTCATTTTTGTTGAGCCTGCGATTAACAGCAAAAGTAGGCGAGACACTGGGTTCCGCGGAACCCTTACAAATTTTCTCTGGATAGAACTTTTTTATTATGTTGAAATTACACTTTATTTTTATTTCCTGATAAACTAGAGATCATTCTGATTCCAGTGATATCTAGTTTTATACAAGTATCTTTATTAACCATTCCACCACTAAGGGTCACTTATGCATGGTCCCTCAAAATATGGACGTCATAGAAAAAAACTGTTGATTGCACCCTAAGGTGGAGTGTTTTTGCCCTTTAACCTTCTTTAAATGATATGAACCCAGATATGTGACAAGGTGCATTGTCCTCTTGGAAGGTCCACCGCCAATTTGGGAAGTGTCAGGCCATAACAGGCCAGAAAAAATTGTTGAGTACATAAATGTATTTATCACTTCATATTTCCTTCTACAGGTGTAAGAGTTCCAACTCCATAGTAAGAAATACATCCCCAAAACATCATTGATGCGAGGCAAGTAGTCTCCCAGTCAGGACTAAGACCAAGACATTCAGGACATAATATTTCCTCTGACTTTTGCCAGACATACCCTTAATTATTTTTTCCCAGCTTAATTTTTGTTTTGTCACTGAAAATTATCAATGACCAATGGTTTTGGACTGTCCAGTGTAACTTCTTCCTACAAAAGCGCTTCCTTTTTACTCACTATTTACTTGGGAAATTGTTGTTTTCTTTGAAACAAAGTGACGCTTATACATCTCTTCAAACAAACATTTACATACAGTTCTAGAAGACATATTATACCCTGTCTTAGCATAAATCGTGCTGTCATATTTTCAGAATCTGTCTTCGATTAGTTTTTAAACTCCTGAAAAGGTCCCTGTCGTCCCACTGGGTTGTCTTTCCTCCTCCCCCACTTTGAGGTAAATTTTCTATGTTCCTCTGCTCTCGAATCTGATTTAGAAATTTCATGATTGTTCTACTACTTATTCTGGTTGCATCATCAATTTTTTAACTCAAAAATCCATCGTTTGACATATTTAGAATGTTTTTTTTTTTTTCATTCCCAGAACCCAAACTGGCAAGAGTTACTAACTGAATTCCTTTATCTTTACATATTGTCCCAATCTTGGTGTATCTGTTATCTTGCCTTCGCTTCAATTTAGAGAGTTTTATCTTGTCGACTTTTTCGTCCGTAATTGAAACCACAGGCGTTTTGGGCATGGACCTTTTTATCTTTTTTCTTAGTGTTTAAATTATTATTTCAGCAACAAAATTTCTTCTAATCTCAACTTATTTTAATTATTGTGTTCTTTATCCTATTATTAGGATTTTACTGTTATTGTAAGATCGTATTAATAGGAGCAAGAATAGATTAAATAACGAAAAACTATTTGGAATGTTTAAGAAATTTTAAAAACACCAAAATAAATTTAAAAAAAGAAAAGAAAGAGGGTTCAATGACCAAAGTTCTGGCTGTGAGTAAGCAATTGACTTAGAACAAATATTTTCCGGACCATATGAGTATTTGGACCATACGAGTTTAACAGTTCGTTTCTTGTAGTTATTATACCCCACTGAACAAAGTTCCATAGGGTATAATGTTTTTGACCCGTGTGTCCGTCAGTCTGTCCCTCCGTCAGTCTGTCTGTCAGTCCTACTGTGTGTCAGTCTGTCTGTCCGTCAGTCAGTCCTGTTCTTGTCATCTCAACTCCTCTAAAACCACACAACAGAATTTTATGAAACTTTGTAGATAATAAGGACATACTATGTAGATGTGCATATATATCTACGATAATTATGATTCAACTTTTTATGCCCCACCTAGGGGCATTATGTTTTTTGGTCTGTGTGTCCATTCGTTCGTTCGTCCATCCGTCCGTCCGTCCGTCTGTCCCGCTTCAGGTTAAAATTTTTGGTCAAGGTAGTTTTAGATGAAGTTGAAGTCCAATCAACTTGAAACTTAGTACACATGTTCCCTATGATATGGTCTTTCTAATTTTAATGCCAAATTAGAGTTTTGACCCCAATTTCACGGTCCACTGAACATAGAAAATGATAGTGCGAGTGGGGCATCAGTGTACTATGGACACATTCTTGTTTTCTAGGAGTTATGCCCCTTTGAACTTAGAATTTTGGCCTAAATATACTACTGCAACAGTTTGTCATCACAACTTCTATGCATCCACACATGAAACTTTGTAGATAATAAGGACATACTATGTAGATGAGCATATCAACAGGAAATTATGATACTTTTTTTTTCCCAGGATCGAGTTAAGCCACTTTGAACTTAGAATTTTGACCTAAATATTCTACTGCAACAGTTTTTCATCGTAACTCCTCTGAAAACTAACAACAGAATTTTATGAAACTTTGTAGATAATAAGGACATACTATGTAGATGTGCATATCCACAAGAAATTTTTATCATTTGACTTTAGTAGGAATTTTGAGTCTTTTAACTTGTGAATCTAGTGAGATTTTGTTTGCCCAGTGACAATGTGGTGGGCGTGGGTTATGTGAGCATGCTCACAAAGGTTCTTTAATTTTCATAAATCGACATATTGTTTTTCGTACAAATTTAAGGACTAATCAATAATGACCATGTAAACATGATTTTACTGTAATTTTTACTTGTAAGTAAACTTCACTTTATTTTATTAATCATGTACGTAACAATGATTACAATATGACTGAATAAGTGAAAAAAATCATTTTTAGAAACTCTTATTTTATGGGACACCTTTTCAATGTTCATCATGTTAATTAACTGGACTATACGAGTATGGTCGGACCAATTGAGTATATACGCATATGGTCATAACCATACGCGTATGGTCTAAATACTCATATGGTCCGGAACATATATACATTAGAATAGGAATAACAGTTCTGTAGTATTTTCATTCAACTTCAATGAGAACACTTCAAATAGTTATAGTGTTTGCACATATGTTATGATACATGTGAATTTACATGGGAGGTAAATTGTTACATCCATTAATATGTTCATCTCTGAATTGTTTACAAAACGAAAGAAGCAAGTTATATTAGAATATTCATATAATGATAGCCAAAAACATATATAATATGGATGATCTTACACCTAGTTCCTGTTAATAAGAGCCAGCTGGTATTCAAACAGCATACATAAAGTATGTTGTGAATTCAAAGATTTCAGACTCTCAGGGTAAAAAGGGAGAGAAATGCATGACCTAAAAATAATATTTTTTATATTGCAGTTCGCAATGTAAGCTGGAGAGGTGCATCAGTAATAGTAGTATTGGTCTTCATAGTTTTAATAGGTAACTAAACAATATATTAATTAGTTGAAATAAGTGATGCAGGATTTATATAGGAAACTAAAATCTGTTGCAAGATACTGTACCCTCCACCCCCTACCCTAACATTTTCAAACAAAGGAAAATAAATAATTAAGAGTTAAATAAATTAAAGACAATAAAAAGCATGTTATGTTTGGCTTAGTTTGGGAGGCTGTTTAACATTTAGTGTCAAATATCCATGCATATTGAAGATTATGAGATATGAATATATGTTTTGTAAATTTTACATTGATGTTCTATACAAAAGGAAATCACGAATTCACCAACATTCCAACTGACTCCATTTTCGAAAAATGACATCTGTAACAAACATAAACTTTTAGCTACCTCTTTACAAGCAGAACCAAATACAATGAAAGTTCCAACTATGTACTGGCTTCCGAAGCTGCATAAAAATCCATACAAATGTAGATTTATTTCGTCTTCAAGCCAATTGTTTCCACTACTAAACTATCTATTCTACTTACTAGTACACTTGGTACAATCAAAAACCTGGTAATAAATTGTTCAAATATGGCCTTTGAAAATAGTGGAATTAATTACTTTTGGAGTGTCAAAAATTCGTTGGAAGTACTTGATAAATTGCATGCTTATATTGGTGATTTCGAATCTGTTCAAAGTTTTGATTTTTCGACCCTATATACCACGTTGCCTCATAATCTTATTAAGAAAAAATTCACACACCTGATTAAATGGGCATTTAAAAAGTCGGAATGCGAATATATATGTTCAAACTCTTTAAGGTCATTTTTAGCTCACCTGGCCCGAAGGGCCGAGTGAGCTTTTCTCATCACTTGGCGTCCGTCGTCGGCGTTAACTTTTTACATTTTGAACTTCTTCTAGAGAACCACTGAATGGAATGAAACCAAACATGGCATGAATGTTCCTTATGAGGTGCTGACCAAGTGTTGTTACTTTGTAGCGGATCCATCATCCAAGATGGCCGCCAGCGGGGGACTTAGTTTAACATAGGACTCTATGGGAAATACATACAAATGTCTTCTTTTAGAGAACCACTGAATGGAATGAAACCAAACATGGCATGAATGTTTCTTATGAGGTGCTAACCGAGTGTTGTTACTTTGAAGCCGATCCATAATCCAAGATGGCCGCCAGCGGGGGACTTAGTTTAACATAGGACCCTATGGGAAATACATACAAATGTCTTCTTTTAGAGAACCACTGAATGGAATGAAACCAAACATGGTATGAATGTTCCTTATGAGGTGCTGACCGAGTGTTGTTACTTTGAAGCCGATCCATAATCCAAGATGGCCGCCAGCGGGGGACTTAGTTTAACATGGGACCCTATGAGAAATACATACAAATGTCTTCTTTTAGAGAACCACTGAATGGAATGAAACCAAACATGGCATGAATGTTTCTTATGAGGTGCTGACCGAGTGTTGTTACTTTGAAGCCGATCCATAATCCAAGATGGCCGCCTGCAGGGGACTTAGTTTAACATGGGACCCTATGGGAAATACATACAAACGTCTTCTTTTAGAGAACCACTGAATGGAATGAAACCAAACATGGCATGAATGCTCTTATGAGGTGCTGACTGAGTGTTGTTACTTTGAAGCCGATCCATAATCCAAGATGGCCGCCAGCGGGGGACTTAGTTTAACATGGGACCCTATGGGAAATACATACAAACTTCTTCTTTCAGAGAACCACTGAATGAAATGAAACCAAACATGGCAAGAATGTTCCTTATGAGGTGCTGACCAAGTGTTGTTTCTTTGAAGCTGATCCATCATCCAAGATGGCAGCCAGCAGGGGACTTAGTTTAAAATAGGACCCTATGGGAAATACATACAAATGTCTTCTTTTAGAGAACCACTGAATGCAATGAGACCAAACATGGCATGAATGTTCCTTATGAGGTGCTGACCAAGTGTTGTTACTTTGAAGCTGATCCATCATCCATGATGGCTGCCAGATGGGGACAATGTTTAACAAAGGACCCTATGGACAATACATACAAATGTCTTCTTTTAGAGAACCACATACTGAATGGATTGAAACCAAACATGGCATGAATGTTCCTTATGAGGTGCTGACTAAGTTTTGTTACTTTGAAGCTGATCCTTCATCCATGATGGCCGCCAATGGGGGGACTTCCTTTAACATAAGACCCTATGGGAAATACATACAAATGCTTCTTCTAGAGGTGCACTGAATGGAATAAAACCAAAACATGGCATAAATGTTTCTTATGAGGTGCTGATTAAGTGTTGCTACTTTGTTGCCGATTTACTGTTCAAGATGGCCACCAGGAATTTTTATTAAATTACAGGACCAATATTAAACCAAATTTGGCCTCACTCATTATTAGGGTATCTGTTATGATTTTAATCTATTTTTACATGATTTCCAAAACCAAAGTAGAATCAGGTGAGCGACACAGGCTCTTGAGAGCCTCTAGTTTAGTAACAACAAACAAAAGAACTATTTCAATTGGACCTGCTTTGATACTATAACTGCCCTTGAATTTTTACTAGATAACATTTTTGTTCGCTATGGAGATTCTGTATATCGTCAGGTTATCGGAATTCCCATGGGGACTAACTGTGCACCACTTATTGCGGACCTGTTTCTGTATTGTTATGAGTTACAGTTTATGACTAAAATCAGCAAAGACCCATCGAAACAACATCTGATTCAAAAATTTAATAACACTTTTAGAAATTTAGATGATATATTGGCTCTCAATAATGACGACTTCAGTATGTACACTAAAGAGATTTATCCTGCCGAACTGACTTTAAATAAAGCTAATACTAACAATGAACACTGCCCTTTCCTGGATCTTGATATCTTTGTCTTTAACAGGAAGCTTAATACCAAAATTTATGAAAAGAGATGATTTTTTTTTTCCTATTGTTAATTATCCATTTTTAGATGGTGACGTTCCCTTGTTGCCATCTTATGGTGTTTATATATCTCAATTAGTTCGATTTGCTCGTGTATGTAACAACGTATTTGATTTCAACGAAAGAAATCTCTGTATTACTGAAAAATTATTACACCAGGGTTTTCGATATCACAAACTAGTCAAAATATTTACTAAATTTTATCATCGGTAGAAGGACATCATTCGTAAATATAAATCAACATGCAGACATCTTATACGTTCAGGTATTTCACATCCAATATTTTATGGTAATATTCTTTACAAAGCACAAAAATGTCAGCATTCACCTCAAAAACTAACCAAACCTTTAAACAGACTTATTCAGAAATGATATAGTTACGATACTGTTGTCAAGTCATTAAGGATTGCATATTTTGGTATTAATATTGATTCACTCATCATGCTCATAGGGTCTTTGCATTGGAAATAAACACATTTATTCTAAAACCAGTTGTTAGCATGATACGGGTTATGTTCTTCTCATATATTTTATGATGGTATGATACTAAACCCCTAACGGGAGGGATTGTACTTGATTTTCATATGATGAAGAAATAATCTTTCAATTAGTTTAATTGAGGTCTGGAGCAATTTCAATGTAGTTTAATTCAAAGTCTTGAATTCTTGGGATTCTTTAATATACTGAATCTAACTGTGTATTTAGAATTTTGATTTTTGGGCCCCATTTTTGAATTGGTCCACATTGAAGTCCAAAGTTTCCAAAATTAAAATTTGTTTGATTTCATTAGAAATTGAATAATTGCGGTTCTTTGATGTGCCGAATCTTACCATGTATTTGTATTTTTGATTTATGGCCATGTTTTCAAATTGGTCTACGTTAAGGTGCAAAATTAAACTGAGTTTGATTTTAACAAAAATTGAATTCAAGGGGTTCTTTGATATGCTGAATCTTAACATATTTTTAGATTTTTGATTTGGGCCCAGTTTTCAAGTTGGTCCAAATCAGGATCCAAAATTAAACTTTGTTTGATTTCAACAAAAATTGAATTCAAGGGGTTCTGTGATATGCTGAATCTTAACATGTATTAAAATGTTGGATTTTGGGCCCCGTTATCAAATAGGTTCACATTGAGGTCCAAAGAGACCAAAATTAAACTTTGTTTGATTTCATCAAAAATTGAATTCAAGGGGTTCTGTGATTTGCTGAATCTTAACATGTACATGATGTATTAATATTTTAGATATTGGACTTTTATAGGTAAATGTCAAATTTCAAATTTTCAAGTTCTTAGACCATATTGATTCTGTGTCAGAAACTTTTTTATGCTATGTTAAATATTTAATCACAATTTAAATTCAAAGCTGTATTGCACAATTAATAGAAATTGTATGTAGATCGAGTCATAGTTAAAAAAAACATACAGCATCAAATCTAATTTTAGAGAAGAAATTATGTATAAATATAGTTTGAAATTTACTGTTCATTATTAGATATTTGAAAATAATTACAAATAAGTTTTATAGATTTTTGGGTAAAGTTTTTTTGAAGAACTTGGTGGTAGGTTGTTTGTTATTCTGTTTAAATTAATTTCCATGATGCTATTTATATATATTTTTTTTTGATGAAGTGAACCCTTTTAAAAACTTTAATATTGTCCATTAATAAATAAATAAATAAAATTCTTGGTGTACTTGAATATGCTGGATCTAACCATGTATTTAGATTTTGGATATTTGACCATAATAGGTAAAAAAACAATTTAAAATTTTTCAGTTCTTTGACCACATTCATTCTATGTCAGAAACCGTTGCTGTGCCAAATATTTCATCACAATCCAAATTCAGAGCTGTATCAAGCTTGAATGTAGAGTGTCCATACTTGCCCCTAATGTTCTGGGTTCAATCTCTGCGGTTGTATCAAGCTGCACCCAGCAGAGCATTTTATTAAAACATATATACTATATATAAAACACCCTTTATTTTTTTAAGTAAATTAGTGATTTAATAAAAAGAATGATGTGGAGCTTATGTCAAAGAGAAAAAGTCACATCTTCAAATTAGAAAGAAATAAAGGACATCTATAGGTAGATTCCTCCTTGCAGTATAGAAAAATATAATTGACAACAATTTTCAATATCTGTTATAATAACTTGAGCCAGAGAAAAGTTCTTCAGCTGCCACATGATACATGTATATTACATTCTAAACCATGTTTTTTTATTAACTGTGTATTTGCATTCAGGTGTCACAGGTCAAATTTATTCGTTCATTGTGTGTTTATTTATGTTTTTTGATTGAGTTAAAAGCCTTCCAATTGATATTTTATAGTGTTTTTTTCTATGTTGTGATGTTATACTATTGTTTTAGAAAAGGGAGAAGGTTTGGAACCATTAAAACATTTAATCCCGCTGCAAATGTTTGCACCTGTCCTAAGTCAGGAATCTGATTACAGTAGTTGTCGTCTGTTTATGTAGTTCATACGTGTTTCTGATTTCTCGTTTTTATATAGATTAGACCGTTGGTTTTTCTGTTTGAATGGTTTTACACTAGTAATTTTTTGGGGCCCTTTATAGCTTGCTGTTCGGTGTGAGCCAATGCTCCGTGTTGAAGGCGTACCTTGACCTTTAATGGTTTACTTTTATAAATTGTAACTTGGATGGAGAGTTGTCTCATTGGCACTCATACCACATCTTCCTATATCTATTTTCTACATGTACAACGACATGATGTGCAGCAGTTACAGAAGTTGTTCAGAGAGTATGTATCTGAATAACTTCTTTACCAATAAGAACTCTGTTTGCAAATTTTTTGTAACAGACAATGTCAAGTCCTTCTAGCAGAACCCCTTCATACAAAGATGTGATTATCACACCTCCCTCTTTAGGTTTGGTTTTAAGATAAGATTCATATAGCCAAGAGTAATACTACAAAAGAAGTATCAGCATGTCAGTATCTTCCATGTTCAACACATCTTCATCTGCTGAAGCATGTTTTGTTTCAATACCAATTGAATGCATATTTTTACCAAACATTTCAACAAAGTTCAGTTTATTTTCATTATTAGCCAAAAATATTTTCTCCTTTGACCTAAAAGGCTTCTCAGTAATTGTAACCTTTGTTCCGAGGATTCCAAAGATCTCTTGTTGATTTAAAAAAGTATTTTGATACAAAGTTTATTTTGATAAGCATTATCTAAATACGCAAAAAAAATGTACCTTCATGACTTGAGATATTGTCAGTTTTATATTTGGTTTTGTATTTGTGCAAAGTGTTCACCCAATTTTGTAAATATAAATGTAACTATAAACAACTGTCATACAAGTAGGAGGTTTAGCTAGCTATAAAACCAGGTTTAACCCACCATTTTCTTTGGAAAATAAAATTGCCTCTATCTAGTCAGGAATATGGCTGTTGTTTTTCACTTGTTCCGTTGTTTGATTATATGATAGTTTTTGATTTTGTAAGTTTCTATGGACTTTCCCTTTTTAGCTCACCTGGCCTGAAGGGCCAAGTGAGCTTTTCTCATCACTTGGCGTCCGTCGTCGTCGTCGTTAGCTTTTTACAAAAATCTTCTCCTCTGAAACCACTGGGCCAAATTTAACCAAACTTGGCCACAATGATCATCAGGGTATCTAGTATAAAAAATGTGTCTGATGACCCCGCCAACCAACCAAGATGGCCGCCATGGCTAAAAATAGAACATAGGGTTAAAATGTAGATTTTGGCTTATATCTCTGAAACCAAAGCATTTAGAGTAAATCTGACA